GGGCGGGTCCTGGGGGCGTGTGGCTTTGCCTCTGCCTGGTGGCCCCACCCAGCTCTTGCCGCTTGCCCCGTTTCAGTTGGTGGTTGCCGCTGTCGTTCATGCCTGGACTCCGCCTCAATTTAACCTTTTAGCGCCAGTACGGGGAAGGGGAGGAAAGGACGGGGGAGGCCGAGAAGAATTTGGGAACCTTGCAAAGCAAAGAAAAGGAGGCAGAAGCTAGTATTAATAGAAATGTTTGCAATTAACTGCAGTTGCTAATAACCTCATCCAGTACTTATCTGTTGCTTTCAATCTTCAAAGCGGTTAACAGACGTTAAACTAATTAAAACAGTTCTGGGTTTGGAATGAGACCATGCCTGCTGTGTTTGCAATCCATTGGCGCGCCAAAAGTAAAGGAGACTCAGGAGCCAGAGAGCCAGAGTGAGAATGGGGTAGGACTGGGACAGCCTCACTCCTGGCGTGAGTCTGGGGTCTTAATCTAAGTGATGAAGAAGCCACCTGTGGCAGGTGGAACCAAACCGATGTTGCCCTAGGGTAAAGCAGTCCCCTGGGGGTTCTTGATATGTTAATTCAACAACTATGTATCTATCCCTTTCCAATGTAGAAAGTGCTATATGAGAGACTCCTCAGCCAGTGTGCTTTCTCGTCTCCTGCCATAGCTGGACTTTTGAGTGCATAACATGTACCATCAACATGAGCAAGTGGGCAAACTGAGGGCCAGAATGAGGTGGATTTTTACAAGGATGGTCCACAGAATGGCCAGACAATATTGGCATCTCTATTTGCAGGCAACTGTTCTGGGCTCTCCACCCCTCCTCTCCTCTCCCTGGAGTAGTCCCTGGGGAAGGTTCAACAAGTCAGCCAAATGTTCCAGATGTACACTGCTGCAACCACAGCATCTTCAGCAGCTGCACCAATCAGAAAAGGGTTCAGAGCAAAACAACAAAAAAGAGTGGCAAACATCCGAACAATAGACCCTGAAATGAAGGATGGAAAGGATTAGTTGAGTTACCACTGACAAGAGTCACTGGTCTGAGATAATAAAGAGCTAAATGACCATAGCAGGAGGAATATGTATGCTTCTTGGCCACTATGCACTCCCAGTCCCATGTTCTGAATAATTAGCAGTTTCCTTGACTTGAACAGGGTAGGCCTAAGACCTAGGCTGGTGGGAAAGAAGAAAAATAAGGGGAATACAAAAGAAGAGAAACAACGAAACAAACAAAGCATACGGTGAGAGGTCAGTCCAGAGAGCACAGAGGTTAAAAACCTTAAATTTATTAGCCACAGCCAACTTTTCTTCCAGACACTCTGTGGCCGGCCTCCATGCTTCAGAAACATCTTTCTATCCTCTCATTGGCTCTTACACATGAAATATCAGATTTGCAAAGAATACTGTCATCATGCAGATAAGAAATTTACAAATGTCATTTAACAGCTAATCTCAAGTACTGCTTGTTCAGTCTGAGGCTTCTAGATGCTAGGGGAACTGCCAGGCTGATTTACCTTAATTTCCATAACTCAAGACTATTAGAAAGAATGCTGGACTAGGAGTTAGTCGACCTGCCCCTGCCACTGGTTTGCTGGGTCACCCTGAGCAAGTCGCTGTGCTTTTTGAGACCTTAGTTTTTTCGACTGTAAAATGGGTAGTTTGAACGTTAACAGCTATAACATTGTGTTTTACCCATGTCATCACTGGCTGTATTGATTTGCTTGCATACACAGTTCAAAGAGGCTGCCCCTTCTCCCTCTAAAGTGAAAACGGAACAAATAGCTCTCTCGGTAGTGGTGGTGGTGCTCAGGGATCTTACTAGTCTCAGCTTACCACGTTCTATCAGGCTTTTAACAGCTGACTGAGAAAAGCTGTTGCACCATTATCCTCAGAAGGCCTTACAAGTTGCATTTGGTTCCCCAGAGGAAAAATACATGGCTTTGTATGCAGTAGAAATATTAGAATGGGACAATTCAGTGAGGGGTGTATGTGGTGATTTTTAAAGCATTTTGGAGAAAAAAAAGTGTTTTCAAGTGTTACTTCAGTTACCTTCTGTGAGTGCATAAGTACCTCATCCTCTACAGAACGGGTCTCAAAATGATAGCCCACGACTATATCCAGCAAACAGATATGAGTTTGGTGAAATGTTGCCTACAACTTTGAGTTAAAAAATTAATTGCCAGCATTTAGAAATCAGGAGATTTCACATTAAAAAATCTATATTTCCTGCTTCTCTATTAAAAAATCAGAAAACCTGGTAACACTGGATTCACATTCCCATACAGGCAGCTAGAATTGCTCCCTTGAGAAAAGCAGGAGCAATCACGTTCCCACAGTCATCTCCTCTTCTAGATTCCATTATTGTCCTTGTCACTCATTTACCTTACTTTTCTGGCCCCATGTACTCTAGGAAACAAAATGATCAGTTCTTTAGCATGACCTATAGGTGCTTAGCAAATCTTTGTTAATGGATTAAAGACTGCAGAAATAAATTTTAAGCAGGGTTTTAAAGGCAGAAATGGTCTGGGTTTGATGGTTGGCATAGAAATATCTGCAGAAATCAATGAAGCAGTGATAAGGAGATAAAAATTCTTCTTGCTGTAAGGGAGCAAGATGGCACAACATTAACAGAGAATATTCGTTTTTTTTGCAATAAGGTCTTTGGCTACTCATGGGTGGCTGAGCATATGGGGAGGCTCTCACTTCATGAAGGGGAATTTTTCATTCAAAAATAGAAAACCTCGTTGCTTTCAGAATGTCATGTGCATCTATCTCCTGCAATGTGTGTCAGCCTCACCACTCAGGCCACCAAGTAGCCGAGAAACAGGCTGCACGGACCCATTGCTATATACCACATTGGGATCACATTAAAATTGCAGATTCAGTTTTGGGCAAGAGTAAGGCTTCAAGAGAATCTTTGGCATTGAGTGTCTATAGGGTCTTACATCCTCCAACAACTATGTGTGGCAGATAGAGCGGCCATTTACCTTTATTTAACAGAGGAGGAAACTGAAGCCCAGAGAGGCATAATGGCTTATCCAAGGTCACGCAATCAGGGTACCTGACTCTTGGCCTAGGGTTCTTTTTCCTTACTAAACTGTCATATTTGTCTATCACACTTATGTTTTCTATTTGAACTAGCCAATTTATTGACTGTATCCATAAAATGCATTTCCAGGTCAGAATAGGGAACAGATTTCAGGATCTGAGCCCATGAGAGTCAGGCACTTTGGGGATCCAAACTTGGCTCTGGGAAAAGCAACCCGAGACAGGACTTGGAAGACTACAATTATAACAACTTTCCCAAATTTGCCCCAGCTACTCCCTACCCCACTCTCACTAGATTATATTGAGAGAATACAACTGGCTTTAGGTGGTTGAAGTATCCCATCCATTCAACAAATATTCTTTTCCTGCTGTTTGCCAGGTACTGTTCTAAGTGCTGGGGATACAACTGTTGACAAAACGAAGAATTAATACAATCTACAATTAGAACACCATTTTTGAAAAATAACTGTTTTTCACAAATACAGTAGAATAGCAAAGTACCTTTAAATGGCCTTATCTCTTCTCCCACTGTACCTCTGAGCTGAGCCAGACTCACTATTAGGGGTTGGGAAGTGACAGTTTCATGGTCTCCAAATATTGAACAAAAAGTACAAATGACTCCAATTCAAAGACATTCCTCTAAGTCGCTCAGGAAAACTCGTCCTGTGCTAAGAAATGCAAAGTAAACAGCCTATTGTTAGAATTTAAGCACCTCTCTTATCTGCTTAGCACTTGCTGATTAAAGTCCAGGAAAGGAATCTACAGAGTCTGGCTCCAGGAAGGTTGGGAAGCATGGAAACCTAATTCTAAGGTGAACAGTCAGTGCCTAAAGATAAGTGCCAAGTTGAGCAGTTGAACCTGAGTCTTAGGTTATCAATGTCTAATATAGATGTGTGTGTATATATGTATGTATATGCATATATGTGTGTATATATGTGTGTAGAGAAAGAGACAGAGAGAGAGAGAAAGAGAATGAGAAAGTATGGGAGGGGGCTTCTTAAAATAGAAAGTGCTACACAAATGTAAGATAATAATAGCAAACTTGCACTGAGTATCTATGTGACAGGTACTGTGCTAGGCAAAGTTATATATGTTTGTCATTTAATCTTCAGAAACCACTTTTTGAAGCAAATTGCTCATTTTCCTACATGTTAAAAAAAAGGCCCAAAGAAAAGTGACATAACATGCTCGATGTCCCGTAGCTAATAAATGGTAGTACTAGGATTCAAGTCCAGATCTGTCCTGATTGAAAAGTCCACATTCTTTCCATTATGCTATGATGAACAACTTATTTTGCATACTCACAAGCACCCCAAATAAGGAGTTTTCTGCAGTTTTCCAGCTGGAATCTATTAGATATTAGATGGTTGGTACCCTTTCCTCACCCCAATCTGATCTTACAGTCTAATAGGAAGGTATGATACCGTAGCCAAGCCAAACTAGAGTTTGAAAATTAAAAAAAAAACTAAATAAGAAAATTATAGCAACAGAAAATAGAGACTCAGGAGATTACAGGAACACCTGATTTTATTGTGCTTCACATATATTGAGGTTTTACAAATTGAAAGTTTATGGAAACCCTGCATAAACGAGTCTATCAGTACCATTTTCCAACAGTATTTGCTTACTTTGTGTTGCTGTGCCACATTTTGCTAATTGTAACAATATCTCAAACTTTTTCATCATTATTATATTTGTTATGGAGATCCTTGATCAGTGATATTTGATGTTATTATTGTTATTGTTTGGGGCTCCATGAACTGCACCCACATGAGATGGTGAACTTAAATCATAAATGCGTGCATGCTGACTGCTTCACCAACTGGTCATTTCCAGCTTACTCCCTCTCATTGGGCCTCCCCATTCCCTG